TCCAATCCCTTCAAGCTCCCATCCTTCACCATTTTCTGTAGCATAGGAATGCTGATGTGACACAACCTCTCGTGCCACGTCTCCCAATCGGCCTCACCACTCCCAAATGAAACCTTTGCCCATGCAGCTGTCGCATCCACACCAGCAAGAACCTCACCATGTGGCTGCAATGGTTGCTGCACCTTCTTGACTGTATCTAGGGCCCCATCAGTTGGTGCAGTCTCCTCTCCTCCCGCAGTTGCTTTAGCCGTTGCTGCTGCCGCTGCCGTTGCTGGAGGTTTCCCGTTCCAAGGTCCTTGATGGACAACTGCCACAGGTCCTTGATGCAGCTGCTCATCTCCTCCAGGTTCCAGAGGAGCATCTTCCCAAGTTTTGCACGGCTGCTGGTTGGGCCAAAGGTCACCTTGGCCTTACTCTTCTGCAGCCAGTGCACAGAAAGAAACTTAGCGGACAAACCTTCAACCAACAACACGTTCCAAAGCACCACAAGCTCCCCATTGGCTCCCATCCCCTTAGCATTCCCAACACCAATTACAGGGAGCAAAGAACTTGGAGCAGCAGCCACAAACTTGATCTTCCCAGGGGGCTTTACCTCATCAAGCAAATCTGCCCGTGGGGTCATGTGGCTTGTGCAACCTGAATCTATCACCCAGTGAGTGAGGGGGTGCATCACAACCTTCCCGACCGAACCCACATCACCCTCACTCCCTTTCACATCCTCAACCATCAAGAACATCCCAGGGGAGGCTTTACCTTGTGCACCATCACCTTGTGCACCTGAACCTTGCACAGCGCCACCTCGTGCACGTTCACCACTTGGCGGCTTCATGCCTGGAGGCGCCCATCCTTCAGGCCGGCTGAAATACTTAAACCACGGGTGTCCAGCCTTCTTGCAGTACCAACAAGCTCCCTCCATTCGGGTGCTTCCTCTACCACCAGAGCTCCCATGCCCCTCATTGTAGTCACCTCGGCCTCTTCCTCTGCCAAAGCCTCTCCCACGGCCTCGGCCTCTCCCACCCCCTCTTCCTCTGCTGCCTCCTGCAGCTCCATACCCCTCAGCAGTCTTGTTGGCAACACCACCTCCCGAGTGGTGCCTGTGGAAGTCCTCCTGTAGAATCTGCTGCCGTAGCCATTCAGGTGTTCACTGGTCCTGTTAAGCGTTGAGGGTGGGGATGAGGTTGTCCCATGATCTGTCGAGCACCGAGATAATCTTGGTGCAGTGCCGCATATGTGACACCTTGCTGCCCGCCGCTGCCATCCTCGCATAAGTGTCCTTGATCTTGTTAAGGACTGGCTTCAGATTGTCTCCAGGTCGCATGGAGAGGGCAGCCAGCTCCTTCTCCAACACAATCACCATCGGCAGCGTGTTGGGCTGAATCACGTCGTGTAGAAGCTTCCATGACTTTGGTCCGAAATCATCCAACTCCACCAAATCCTTGATGTGCTAGAACATGTTGTTGTTGACCGATTGTAGGATTAGGTCGTACAGCACCGCGATCTTCTCAATCCACCGATCGCGGACTTTGCTTTCCTCTGGTATCTTCTCTTCACCCATGGCAAGTTTCAATAGCTTGTAGCGGTTAAACGCACTCCGCATCCGCCCGCTCCATTCCTCATAGTTGGAGCCATCCAATGCCTCGATCTTGGATGGTGGAGGCTCATTCCTCTTCTCATCTGCGTCCCACTCCCTTGACACGCCCACATGTCATAGTGTTTCTAAAAGGTTCTTCACACCTCAGTAGACTCCCCACAAAGTCCTTAATCAGCTCTGATACCACTTGTTAGAGATTAAGGACGGAGTCTAGGAAGATTGGGGGCCGAAATATCTCAAAATCGTTGGACTAAAAACTCTGGACAGAAATGTCGACTTCACAAGAAACGCCGTCGACAAAAACCACACCGTTAGATTTTTTTCAAACTCGAGTGTGTTGTAGCCCTTGACTGTGGCTATATTTCCCAATTTGAATCGCATCTAAAGATGGAGTCTAGCTCGAGTCGATTATAAATTTTGGCGCACTAAAGGGTATGCTGGAGCTGAATATTAACTCAATCACAATTGTTCACACAAGGACCACACAAGGGAATAAGAGTAGCTAGGAACCAGGTAGGAGGGAAGAGGAGGACACGAGGGAAGGTCCTCAACCAAGAAAACCCCATAAGCAGACCAAATCCCTTCCCTATAGGCACCCCAACTTTGACATTTGTCACTTTCCCAACACATGCCATCCACCTCACCCAACTTAGCCACATTTACCAACCTGGTTTGGCTTCTCCCAACCACTTTGCATCATCTACAATAGAAATGAAAAAATTTCCCAACCCCCAAAAGTCTATACCCCATATAGAGTCAACCCTACAACTTCCCAGAGTCGCTGCAACAATATTTCAAAAGCATACGAACTTCAACCGTTCGTAACTTTCTCGTCCGTGCTCCGATCGCGACGATTCTTGGCTCGTCGGAAAGCTCTTGAGCAGAGAAGTCATTTTGGATATCTGCTAAAAAAAATTAACATTCACACACACTCAGAAAATCCAAACCACACCAAACACAAATTCTTGCACACACTCACACCACACATGCAACATACGAACACATGATGGAAGGCAGACATGCGTGAATGTGAATGATAGCATCACACAACAATTTGCCGAGCAAATATCAGACCGTATGGTCGTACGGAACATGTTGAAATCTGCACACAACAAAACTGGAACTAGAACATGCACACAAGAAAAATACATGGAACGTGATTGAACCTCGACGTCATAGCGATATGTTTTATCAGAATTCCCAGCGATCATCACCGAGCTATGCAGCGACCGCTACTTATAAAACAAATATCGTACCTCCATGTAATTCGAATGCACAAATCGTCTAGCCGCAACATACCCGCAATCAGATCAGGTGGCACTTTTCCACACCGCAATCTGTACAACACAAAAGAAAGCCATGGATAAGCCAAGAAACTGGACATTACAGCTTGCCCGAAATACATAATCAAAGTCTGGGGCAGTGAAACAGGAATAAGAGCCACTGCACTTCGGTCGCTATTACTCTCACATGCTACACAAAATGGCATGACATGCTCCTTAGTGATGTCCCATGCGATCGCACAACAACTTTTGCGAACTGCCACGTGGAGATGAACGGAAACAATATTAGGAAAAGAGAGAACTGAGGCCACGGGTTTCAATGGGGAAAACAGTCGTGAGCGCCACCTGCCACATGTTGAATATCATAGAGAAGCAAATGGTAACGGCATTAGCAAGAACGACACCAAAGTCGTCGGAGGCGTGGGAGCCATCTATGAAACTTGTGTTTTCCTTTTTCATGATGGATTTTGCGTGCGGATCGGATCAAGGCCACGGGAGACAAACGGAAGATGTTGGCTTGCGTATCACAATATCACAATAGAGCCTCACCATCACTGTTCTCCCCATCGGCACCCCGGAAGATGACATCTCGTCGCTAAGTGTGCAGTAGCGCTAATGCTACCATGAACTACCCTGGGGAATGGAGGTGGGAGGGGAGGGTAGGATCAATATGGGGTGGATGCAGAATGAGATATATAAATGGAGTAGCTTCAGCATGGCAAAACTACTATCACTAGTGCCGAGAGTAGCATTTGAGATGTGCATGAACACAAGGCCTGCGGTGGGGTAGCATATATATCTAAAAACCTTGAGCGTGGTGGTAGATCTTCACGAGTATAGTGCTTATGGCGATTGAAGTTCGGAGTTTGATAGAAAGGTGTGACAGGAGGCGAGCATGAAACTGAGGTATGAACAATGAACATCAAATCTGACATGCAAGGAACATCTGTATGGCGAATGGGTCACGATGGCATAGGCACGGGTGGTTGGGATGGGCGGATATCGGAGGCAGTACTTGTGTTTATGAGCTGCAGAAATTGGTTGGAACAATTCGTGAGGCTCACCTCGAGAGTGGAAGATATGGGTAGGGTTGTGACGTGCAACGTCCAAAATTTTCTTCTAGCAATGTACACGGTTTGGAGTAGCTCTGATTGGTTTGTGGGTTGCTTTTTGCAGTCTGGCGTGTAACTTTGATTGGTTTGCATACGTCACTGTTACTTGATGGAATCAACTAGATTCTGTATTTACAACATTTACAAAATCGGTTGCCCCGTCCATTTTTTTTCGCTAATGGTCGGGTTGCTTCGCATGCCTCGTGGTCAGTACCTAACCAAAGTCTAAACCGTGTTAGAGCTATACGTTATAACCACAAAATCGGCCGCAATTGGTACAGAGGCCGTTTAATGAGCCACCAATGTTGCGTATCGGAGTCTAAATGTGTTGAATTCGAACTGCGGCATCGGAAACCTGGTCACATCGCGCATTTTGCGCCACACATTTGTGCATGTGTCGCTTGAAGCCCGTGGCCCAAATTGCGGAGCGCGTGGGTCAAGTTTTTAAAACTTGATAGCGTTGACTTTGCAAACTTGGAAAAACGACCACTGCAATTTGGGACTGTCGAGCAGCAACTGCAATCACCAGGGGGGAAACGAGGGCTGGTTGGGCTGGTTGGTTGGTTGGGTTTTTTTTTTTTTTTGGTTTTGGTTTTTTTTTTTGGTTTTGTTTGTTTGTTTGTTTGTTTTTTTTTTGTTTGTTTGTTTGTTTGTTTGTTTGTTTGTTTGTTTGTTTGTTTGTTTGTTTGTTTGTTTTTTTTTTTAATCAGACTGTCTCGCCACAACCCAACTGGATAAACTCCCTCCCCGTGATGCTTTTGAAACATGAACAAATTAAGCCAATGGCTTTGATGTGACCCTGTAGTGAGTTTTATATATACCGAGAGGTGTCACGGAAATGTTACAGAGTGTGCTGTTAGGCTTTCAAAGCTCGTTGAGACTTTTCGTATACTTTTCGGGTGAAAAACTACCGAGGGCCAAATTTGAGACCCATCCAATTTCGCGACGGGCTTCGTGTCGCTCATTGAGATCGACGGCCAGCCGACGGCGCCGCCCACCGTTGGCGAGTGGATCATGAAGGAGAGCAGGTTGGTGTTAACCAAAATCACGGAGGCGAAAGAGGGGCCGTTCAACGTGGATCAGTTCCACGTGCGCGTGGCGGGGCTGGGGGAGCTCGACGTGAGCGTGCGCTTGGCACACCCGCTGCTGCAGACGCCGGCGGAAGCGGAGGCACACTTCAACGTGGAGCTGTCGGACGTGAAGATGACGTCATCCGCGCACGGCATGCTAGGGCAGACGTTCAGGAACACGGCGGAGCAGCTAAAGCGCCCCGTGGATGCAAACAAGGTTGAGGGCAAGGGCTTTGTGGACAGGTAAGTCAAGGATTCTATTTCGTCATCTGTTGTCGCGCCTGACTGCAAATACACGAGCTTCGCCGCCACTGCTGCCCGAGAGGACCGCGTCCTAGTAGCACAAAGTACGGCTTTGGACTGCCGATACTGTTCGCAAGAGATCTGGTAGGTAGATAGATTTGTAGTGAGGGTGGAATTGTTGTGCACCTTCGAAAATGGTTGTTGGGTGGGTGGGGGTTGCGAGATATGAGGTTAGGTTCGGTTGAGCTGGGTTGAGCTGGTTGGAGGAGGGGGATTAGTCGGCCCCGTTTCAGTTTGTCCCCCTAGCGGATGGCCTTCGAATTATAGTCAGTCTTTCTCATATATTGTTATTATTGCTGCGTTTTACCTAAACATTAGAAACATCAAAACGGACCGGCTTTTATTTGTTTGTTTGTTGGTTTGGCCACCCGGAGAGTGTGACTGACATCCCTCGGATGACTTTGTGACTTTCTAAGAAAGGTTTGGCTGGCTCAGCACATCACAAGGGGAAGGAGGGGTGTCCTCGTTCACTTGCTTGAGGCGTTATATGCAACTGCGCTCCACACACCTTGTAGTCCCCCCTGAGCATTTCCCCCCTTAGCAGTTCCCCACTTAGCAGTTCCCCACTTAGCAGTTTCCTCCTTAGCAGTTCCCCCTTGTGGTCCCCCAATTGTAGTCCCCCCATTGCGGTGCTTCCCTTGCAGCCCCTCCTTGCTGAACCCCGCACATCCATCCCGAGCCCCAACCCTCATCTGTTGACTGATTCATTCATGCCTTGCCCCTTTCAGCATCTCACATCACAGGGTCGTCTCGCAAGTGATTGTTGTTATCTGCTTGCAATATGAGAGGTGTTGACCCACCTCCAAGCCCCTCTCTGATATTGCAGGCGTTTTCTTTGAAGTTCTCACTTACTGCTGAGGGGCTCCTGTCTTATCTGCCTCCCCCTTGTGCTTGCTCCTCCCTCCTCTCCTGCCTCCATTCTTGTCCCCCATCCTCTCATGGCCTACCCTCAGAAACTGCTTGCGGGCTCCTCTCCTATCTGCTTCACTTCTCTCTTTTCATTTCCTCTCTCTTGTCCGTTTCCCCCTCTCTTTTCGCTTCCCCACTCTCCTTACCGCCTCCTCCCTCTTTTCTACATCTCTTTTTCACTCCCCCCCTCTCTTTTTATCTCCCCCCCTCTTGTGCTTCCCCCTGTATTTCGCTCCCCCTTTTTTTTCGCTTTCCCCCTCTTTTCTACTCCCCCCCTCTTCTTTTAGCATCCCCCCTCTCTTTTCCACATCCCCCCTCTCTTTTCCGCATTCCCCCTCTCTTTTCTTCATCCCCCCTCTTTTCCGCATCCCCGCTCTCTTTTCCGCATCCCCCCTCTCCTTTCCGCATCCTCCTGTGTGCATGTTTCTGCCTCCTCTCCTGCCTCCACCTTTCCTTGTTCCCCCTCCCCCCCGACTCCAAAGCATCCTCAGAAGCAAGAACTTTCCAATGATCAGTGAGTAAGGGAGGGAGGGGGAGGAGGAGGGGAGGGGGAGGAGGAGGAGGAAGAGGAGGAGGAGGAGGGGAGGGAAGGAGGGAGAGTGAGAGCAGTAGTAGTGGAAGAAAGAGGTGGGGGCAGCGAGAATAAGGAGGAAGGTGGGAAGAATGAGATATGAGAAGGAAGGTAAGAAGAATGAGATATGAGAAGGAAGGTAAGAAGAATGAGATATGACAAGGAAGGCGGAATGAATGAAGTATGAATAGCAAGGTGGGAAGAATGGGGTATGAGAAGTAGGGTGATAAGAGCGTGGTGAGAAGAAGGATTGGAGGTTAGGGAGAGTTCACCTAAACCCACTGATTTCCCCTCAATTCCACAACCCTTCGCCCCATCCAATCCCCATCCCCCAAAAAGCCACTCTCCTTCCCCCACACGAACACTCTTATTCCCCCATTATTCCACTCCTTTAAAACCATTATTGCACTCCCCTTCCCCCACTGATCCATTTCCCTTTCCCCAATGATTTATTCTCCTTCCCCCACAGGAACACACCCTTTCCCCTAATGTTGCACCTTGAGGCTGTCGCAGAAGTGATATTTCAGAAGCGCCTTCCCCGCGATTCGGCACTCGCCACTTTGCCATGACCGGTCGGTGTTGATAGCTTTGGTCGCCACATATTTGTATAAGTCTCGAAGGCTTTTTCCAGCCGCAAACCTCACCAAATCGACAGCCGCTTTTATTGAGAATTCGCAGCAACACCGCTACAGCCCGTTGAGACAACTTCTCGTTTAAAACCCATCGACATAGCTCATCTTCAAAGGAGAACGGCGTTGGAGGACTAGGCTCCGCATCCTGTCCCGAGCGTGAAGGCCCCTCAGGCATCGCAGCGCGTTCATGAGAAGGGTATGGCAGTTCCTCTGAGTCTAAGCTCTCCTCGCACACGGGCCTATCATCGTCGATTGGAGCTCGAGGTCTCATAGTTTCATCGAACGTTTGAGGCAAGAAAGGGTCCTCCCGGGCCATTGGGCGAAAAGTGCTCGGAAGACGTGTGCCGCTCCCATCGTTCCCTGCACCATCGCTGGCAGGTCTGCACGCCGCATTGTTGGCTTGCGCCAGCCTGCATTGGTTGCTTCCTATGTGTCGTTGAAGCCCTCCTTTACCTCCAAATGGGCCTGAACGGCATGTTCTGCAATGGTCCGGAGGTAAGTCGTCCATGACTGAACTATACCGTTCCTACGACTACGACTTGGAAAGTGGTTCTGTAATGGAATAAAGTGAGTTGCTGTAATGTCTTGAATGTCAAGCGGGATGATGTCTCTGCTCTGGTGCTTTGGATCGCGCTACTTCCAAGGCATTGACGTGCAGCACCACTGAACCAAACGAATTCACACTAATGGAATTAGGCCGGGTTCATCATACGCGTATTTGCAGATAACCCTATCCAACCATCTCTTATAATTTTTAGAACGCTCTGCTTCTATTTTTTACCGTTTTGAACCTCATTCGGATATACAATAAGGAGCCGCCTAAGTGGGGAAATGTGCACCTTGATTTCTAATGTGCTGAAATTGTGAGTTGGAATTTGACGCGACCCGATGACAGTACAGTTCGAATTTCGCCCCCCTTTTCGATTGGCTGGCGTTCCGTCGCGACCCACGGAAAGTCGTCGCTGCTTAGCAAGCCCCTTTGGCGAATTCGCTGACGAGTCTATACAAGTCATACACCAGTGTGCAAAATAAAGTCGCGACGAAATCAAACAATCGACAACGCAATCAGCAGTACCAGAATAGGCGCGTCGCCAGTCACTTTTGGAACGGTCAGAAATGGCAATTCAACTGCTCGTACTTTAAACGTCATTAAAAGCCAGGTCACGAGCGCAATCTAGCAATGAAAAATATCAGAACCAGTACCACGAAAAATTACTGCTCCTCCTCATGGTGAGCCCTAAACGGCCATATCCGAACCCGGACTGCGTGCCAATTACACATATTCACAACGTTTAAAATTTCAAACGTCTCAAAAAAAAAGAGAAACACATAAAAAAAAAAACAAAAAAAAGATACAACATTTTGCCTCATAACGGAGCAGCTAATTTTAAACTGAACTTTCAGAATCGCAATCGTTGAATCAATGCTAGATCCCCCCCCTACATCTCTAGGTCGTTTACGTGCTCCATGCAGATTGAGCCGAATTGTTTCCCGTCGAGCAATTAGCACTGTCGATCCGAGAGGATCTAACGTTCAACAACAATCCTGAAATCACATCCCCCAGGTCGTTTACGTGTTCCTCGCAACAATGCCCAAAGTAGTGCGGCGCGACACACTTCGTGAATCACCTTCGCGATCCTGACCGTTGCTCAAATCGGTTGGAATTTCATCCGTCGATCAAATGTTTGCACATTCCACAAAACAACCAAGCACCGAATTGGCAGAACAGGGTTGAAATGGGTCCCAAAATTGCCAAGTTGCCCTCACAATCCGCCACAGCATGTAAACAACAAGTTATGAAGCTCGAAAACCATCGGGAAAAGAGCCTCAGTAGAGCATACCATATACAACAGGCTCAGGATTTTTGCGATGGCAGGGATCCCCTCTGCACTTCCTTGCGCAGCCAATGCCATTTGATCTGCATGTGCTTGGTGAGACCATGCAGCACAGCGTTCTTGGACATTGCAATAGCACTGGAGTTGTCACAAAACAGCGGTGTAGCTATCTCCTGCTCATGCCCTATCTCCTCCAGCAGCTTCCTCAGCCAAATCAGCTCTTTGGCTACATGATACATTGACATAACCCCTAAGCTTTACTGCAGCTGCTCGCATCTGCCTTTCGATCATGGGTGACTGAGCACGACCTGTGGGGGGGAGTTTGGATTGGGTCCTTCGTGAGGGAAGGGTGGGGGAAATCACACGTGTAATGGGGTGAGGTTCTTCAGGTGCAACTATTGGCTCCACACCCTTGGCCACTGAAAGCTCTGCTGCACCCTCCTCATCGAGTGTCGCTGCACCTTCCTCTCCTACCCACTCCTCCGCATCAAACCCCATCGTTGTTTGCTCCAGCTGCTGCATGAGTTCTTCCTTTGGCTCCCGTAGGTGATATCTTCCATGAATTTAAATCCCTGCTATCAAACACCACTCCTTTGCTCGGCTCCCACAGCAACCACCCCTTGCTTTCCGCTGCCTAACCCAAGTGCACACACCAAACAGCCGTTGCACCCAACTTACTACGGTGTGCCTTAGGGATGTGAGCCATTGCCATGCAGCCAAACACACGCAGCATATCAATGGGCGGCTTCCTCCCAAGCCACCTCTCCATAGGGACCCATGACTCACCACCAATGTTAGTGAATACCCCGGTTCTTCACCACCGTGGCGTGGCGCACAGCATGTGGCCACTTGGAGTTCCCCAACCCCGACTCGATGAGAAGTGCCCGTAATACTTGAACCGTTACCCCGCACATCCATCTCGAGCCCCAACCCTCATCTGTTGACTGATTCATTCATGCCTCACCCCTTTCAGCATCTCGCATCACAGGGTTGTCTCACAAGTGATTCTTGTTATCTGCTTACAATATGAGAGGTGTTGACCCACCTCCAAGCCCCTCTCTGATACTGCAGGTGTTTTCTTCGAAGTTCTCACTTATTGCTGAGTGGCTCCTGCCTTATCTGCCTCCCCCTTATGCTTGCTCCTGCCTCCTCTCCTGCCTCCATTTTTGTCCCCCATTCTCTCATCACCTACCCTCTGAAACTGCTTGCGGGCTCCTCTCCTATCTGCTTCACTTCTCTCTTTTCATTTCCTCTCTCTTGTCCGTCCCCCCCTCTCTTTTTGCTTCCCACTCTCCTTACCACCTCCTCCCTCTTTTCTACATCTCTTTTCCACCCCCCTGCTCTCTTTTTCTCTCCCCCCCTCTCGCGCTTCCCCCCTGTATTTCGCTCCCCCTTTTTTTTCCGCTTTCCCCCTCTTTTCTGCTCCCCCCCTCTTCTTTCCGCATCCCCCCTCTCTTTTCCGCATCCCCCCTCTCTTTTTCGCATCCCCCCTCTCTTTTCCGCATCCCCCCTCTCTTTTCCGCATCCCCCCTCTCTTTTCCACATCCCCCCTCTCTTTTCCGCATCAACCCTCTCTTTTCCGCATCCCCGCTCTCTTTCCCGCATCCCCCCTCTCCTTTCGCATCCCCCTGTGTGCATGCTTCTGCCTCCTCTCCTGCCTCCACCTTTCCTTGTTTCCCCTCCCCCTCGACTCCAAAGCATCCTCAAAAGCAAGAACTTTCAAATGATGAGGGAGTAAGAGAGGGAGGGGGAGGAGGAGGGGGGGGAGGAGGAGGAGGAGGAGGAGGAGGAGGAGTAGGAGGAGGAGGAGGAGGAGGAGGAGGACGAGGGAAGGAGGGAGAGTGAGAGCAGTGGTAGTGGAAGAAAGAGGTGGGGGCAGCGAGAATAAGGAGGAAGGTGGGAAGAATTAGATATGAGAAGGAAGGTAAGAAGAATGAGATGTGAGAAGGAAGGTATGAAGAATGAGATATGACAAGGAAGGTGGGAAGAATGAGGTACGAGTAGCAAGGTGGGAAGAACGGGGTATGAGAAGCAGGGTGATAAGAGCGTGGTGAGAAGAAGGATTGGCGGTTAGGGAGGGTCCCCCAAAACCCACCGATTTCCCCTCAATTCCACAACCCTTTGCCCCATCCAATCCCCATCCCCCAAAAAGCCACTCCCCTTCCCCCACACGAACACTCTTATTCCCCCATTATTCCACTCCTTTAAAACCATTATTGCACTCCCCTTCCCCCACTGATCCATTTCCCTTTCCCCACTGATTTATTCTCCTTCCCCCATAGGAACACACCCTTTCCCCTAATGTTGCACGCCTCATCCTCAACTATTCCACTGCCCTTCCCCCACTGTTCCACTCCCCTTCCCCCTCAAATCTTGTCCCCTTCCCCCTCAAATCTGGTCCCCTTCCCCCTCATATCTGGTCCCCTTGCCCCTTATATCTGGTCCCCTTTCCCTCCATATCTGGTCGTCTTTCCCCCCATATCTGGTCCCCTTTCCCCCCATATCTGGTCCCCTTCCCCCTCATATCTGGTTGCACTCCCGTTCCTCCACTCACCTTCACCCCCTCTTGCACTTCTCCCACAATTCCATTCCCCTTACCCCACAATTCTATTCTCCTTTCCCCATCTCCAATCGTGTCACACCCTGTCACCCTCGGTGCCACTGCCCTTGCCTCCAAATCTCCCCTCTGTCCACTATTCCATTCCCCAATCTCCACTTCACCATTCCTTTCCTTGTCGTCATGCTCCATTCCCTTCCCACCACTGCTCAACCGATTACAATCCAAATTATCCAAAGCCCATTCCTCACGGTTCCCCCTCCCTTTCCCTGCTTCCACATCTGGGTGTCATACTATGCATTGCCGTCTCACCGTGCATCAGAACCTTGGACAGCGCAAGCCTCACGGGCACACTCCATCTCCGCACCGTGGTCCGCGCGTGGCTCACGGCTCTCACCTGCATATGACTTGCGTTTGCTTCCTTCGTATGCTGCTTTACCCGCTTTAGAATGCCAGTGCAGCTTGTTTCTCTATCCGCTCCTCTTTCTCTTATATCGACGAAACACAATGGTGTTTTTCTTGCCAGTCCAAAGTTAATACACGGCAGGAAACCTGTCTTATGGAGCCGTGATGCGTTTTTTAAGCGTCTCAAAAATGCAATTTTATCACAATGCATGTGGTCAAGACTATGACCTCACTTCCGAGACTTCATCCTTTGCTCGCCCCTAACAGGTGGCTGTCAAGCAAACTACTAAACTACCACATCGGTTCATTCAACATCACCCCTTGGATCCTTGTCAGTGCGGCAGAGGCAGGGTAGAGTGTTGCCAGGCAGGGCAAAGTGTGGCCAGGCAGGGCAGAGTGTGGCCAGGCAGGGCAGAGTGTGGCCAGGTAGGGCAGAGTGTGGCTAGGCAGGGCAGAGCTATTGAGCAGATGGTGATATTCTGTTGCCTCAGGTTAGCTCCAACACCCGTTTCTTTTTCAAAATTTCAACCCCTATTTGTGCGGGAGAGAGGGGGATGGTATCGGGCTCATGGTTAGGAGGAGTGCGGAATGGGGTAGTGATGCCAACGGGAGCGATGCCGAATTTCTTGGCGAGAGTCTCGCCGTATTTCGCGGCTGAGAGGTGAATTGTGTCAGCCGTTTGAGTGACATTAAGGCCGAGGAATTGGGTGACTTCGTGGTCCACTGTCACTTCGAGTGTCTTCTCGATGTCGTTCTGCTTGATCTCAAGAACTGAATGAATGTTGACTAAGGTTGGTTGGGGTACATAAACCTAACCCTAACTACTGTACCCCATATGACACACATCACTAAAGGCTACAACATTTGACACACCCCTATAGCCTAAGTGAGGTGTGTCAAGCAAAACCAAAATCGTACGATTATAAGACCAGTCACAAAGAAACAAAGCTCAGGGTGGATCACAACGTCACCACACAGTCTGAGCACAAGCAAAAGAGCCACAAGGCCAGTCCAAGAGTTCACAGAGGTATATGCAAAGCGTACAAACAAAGCAAGCAAAGAACACAAGGCTACGCAAGACGAGAACCTGTGTCAACGAGACCTAACTGCACACAACACCTCTGGTGGTCACAAGGCGGAAGGGCCTTGGTGAAGATGTTTGCAGCGTTGGCTGCTGCTGCTGCTCCTCCTGCAGCGGCTGCTACTGCTGCTGCTACTGCTCGTGCTGCGGCTGCTGCTGCTCCCGCTCCTCTAGCTTCCGTAGCTCCAGCTGCTGCCGCTCCAACTCTAGGCTCTCCAGCTGCTCCTCACGTGCACGGCGAAGACGGGCCTGGTGCCGGGTCGGGTAGGGGTGCGGGCGCGGAGTAGTGTCCGGGGCAGGGGCAGCCCCAGGACTTCCCTCCAAGGCTCTTGCCGAACCACCCCCAGAGCCAGCACCACCAGAAGTAACCCGGTCACTCCCAGGCTCTCCAGGTCTAGCAGAGGGCTCACCCGCACCCCCAGTCGTAGCTCGACCAGCACCAGCTCACCTTGGACAGGTACGCTCTCAGCTCCAACGCAAACACCTCCAGAGCTAGCACCTCCAGGATCCTCGACACGAACACCAGCACTCGCAGGGTCAGCAGAAGGCTGTGAGGAGGACTGCGGGGAAGGGGACGGCACCTGAGGGGTTACCAAGGGGAGGGGAGGGGTAGCGTGTGACACACCTGATGGGGCTGGACCAAGCGGGGGGGGGGGGGGACCAGGGGGGGGAGGCTGTACCGGGGGAGCAGGAGGGGGAGCGGAAGTCAGGAAGAGAGGGGGAGGAGGAACCGGGAGACCTCGACAGGGGTACCGGACGTAGTAGGGGACGGACTCGTCGAAGCGAACGTCGCAGGAGTCAAAGAACCGGTGAAGGGGAGGGTGGTAATGTCAACGGGAGTTGTGTGTTGGCCTCGTCCTCGCTTGGGCGGAGCCGACTTCGTGGTCAGATATGTGGGGTGTGCAGCTGACCTGCTGCAGTGGGCGACACCGACTTGGCGGGCTGGTCGACCAGCGTCGTCGGCCTGCACGGGGCCACTGCGTAGCCGCCGGCGATAGGAGACCGGTGGACGTGGTCGACGGAGGAAGGCGCCGACGTCGATGACGTTGGGAGGCCGGGCTGGTAGGCGCCGAGGTGCGGGTGGTCGACCTGGCGAGGTCGACCACGGAGGTGTCGACTTCCCGACACCGACTTTGGGGACGCCAACTTGTTGCAGCCGGCGACCGGAACGTGGTCAACGCTTTGGGTGGTCGACAAGCATGAGGAGAGGGGCTGGTCGACGTGGTTGCCCGGTCGACCAAGTTACCCGGGCGACCTGTGCGACCATCGCTGGGGTGGTTTCTGCCAGACCGACCTCGGAAGTGGTATCCCGAGGTCGCTGTGGCTGGTGGGTGCAGTCGCTGGCGTGTTCTCGGCCTGGTGTCTGTGCTGTGCTTGTGGCACACCAACCAGCTGTGCGCACCCGCAGAATCGCCGTCAGCCCCCTGCTGGTCGGCCGTCCCGAACTCCTCACGTGGAAGGAGGCCATCGAGCCCCAGCTAGAGATGGCCGGGCTGATGTGCTTCGCCAACAGCACCATGGAGACGCCGCCAAAGAGCAACCTCGAGCTGCGTGCGGAGTTTCGCACCGTGCAGCTTCACGGTCATCTCGCGGTGCTGCTCGCTGGGCATGCAGATCACCCTGAAGTCATGCCAGGACTACTTGGAAGCTGGCTACCAGGCGTGACGCTTCATCGAGTCGACGTACCAGGTCACCGATGACCTGTACATCGGCCAGCTCGAGGAGCAGATGACGCACCTGGGGATGTGTGATCAGGAGACGGCGACCGACTACTGCAATCGGGCTCGACGACTTCTCGCCAATAGAGAATGGTCGGCGTATAGTACTCAATGGCGTCGCACATCACGCACGTCCTGAAGGGGCTCCCGAGCAGCTACAACCTGATGAAGCGGCTTATGGTGGTGCCGGGAGTCGCTCAACAAGGACTCGCTGACCTTGTACATCCTCAGGGACGAGGCGATGCAGGAGGCCGACACGCCCAAGGAGCTCCTGCCGCAGGTAAACTACGCCGCCGGAGCTGATGCTGAATGCCCTTCTTCTTCAGCACCGCCTCAAACTCATTGCCAATGAACTCTCCCCCGTTGTCAGTGCGGATCACCTTCACCTTGTGTCCGCTCTCCCTTTGAGCTCTCGGCATCCACTCCTTAAGAACAGCCGCTGCCACCTCCCCCTTAGTCTTCAGAGGGTACACCCACACCGCACGCGTGTGGTCGTCCACAATGGTCAAGAAGTAGCGGCTGCCCGAGAGAGAAAGGGCCCTAGTGGGGCCCACCACATCCATGTGCACAAGCGCAAGTGGTGCCTTGGCTGGTCCCGTGCTGCTGCTGAAGGGAAACTTCGTGAACTTCGTTTCAAGGCATGTAGGGCAGCTCCCAATCTCCTTTGCTGCCCCCTTCACCTCCAATCCCTTCAAGCTCCCATCCTTCACCAATTTCTGCAGCATCGGAATGTTGATGTGGCACAGCCTCTCGTGCCACGTCTCCCAATCGGCCTCACCACTCCTAGATGAAGCCTTTGCCCATGCAGCTGTTGCATCCACACCAGCAAGCACCTCACCATGTGGTTGCTGTGGCTGCTGCACCTTCTTGACTGCATCCAGGGCCCCATCAGTTGGTGCAATCTCCTCTCCTCACACAGTTGCTTTAGCCGTTGCTGCTGCCGCTGCCGTTGCTGGAGGTTTCCCATTCCAAGGGATGATGGGCAGCTGCCACAGGTCCTTGATGCAGCTGCTCTTCTCCTCCAGATCCCACAACAACAGCTTCCCAAGCTTCGCACGGCAGCTAGTTGGGCCAAAGGTCACCT